GCTATTTCCGGGGTGCCTTGATAGTCGAAACAGACTTTGTGCTGTTGAAGCTTGAGAGGTGAGCAGAGTAAGTCTGATTCCCTGTAAGGACTTTTCTGTTGACACCCACCCCTTGGGGCTCATATGACCGTATGCAGTTGCGAGTGCCGTAAAACCCTCTACTAAACTAAACACTCTTACGAAAACTGTCTTTTTTACCTTTTAAAAAAAATAAAAACTCAAAGATGATAGACCTCACATGTAATTTGTTTTACTGTCAAGCGGGCGGTTGGCGGTTGCTCTTGTTTAGTCTCCTTTTTTCCCCCCTTTTTCAAATTTTTTTCAAATATTGTCCTGATCTGATCTGACTTTCTGTTAACGAGCGGGTGGTTTGAGGGTGCCACTGATAGGTCCTACTTCTTTACTCACCCTCTGTTGTTTCCCTCCTCTTTATCTTACGTTTTCCACCAAGCGCTAATTAATTGACAATTATTGTGTCGAGGTGTTTCTCTTGACTAATCACATTTATCGATCCTGAAGAGGGGGGGAGCAGAGATGGATGTGTTCCGACTGCAGTGACCCCAACACAGTGGACAAGTAAGTAAGTAAGTAATCACATTTCCATGCGAAATGTGTCTGTGGCTCTTCACGGCAAAGCAAACCACAACTCGGCGTGTTCTCACTTCACACGCACGCACGCACGCACGCACGCCCGCCCGTTATTATGTCGGTGCACAGTAGTTGTGTTCAGTTTGTGCTCACGAGCGCGGGGACGAGTAGATCTAGGCAAAGTAAAGCACCTTCAGAAGAAGACTGGGGGACCCCCCCCCCCCCCCCAATCCTTTTCGTACGTTCGTTCGCTCGCTCGCCCTGAACTGCCTACTCTGATTTGAACGTGCGCTGCTGTGTGCTTTCTTTGCCTTGTGTCAGGCGCCGCCCGTGCGCGAAACGAAGCAGTAGCAGCACATTAGAGGCGGGCAAATCCGGATAATCTATAGGATAACCGGATAATTCTCAATGAAACATTATCCAAATATTTCAGACTCTTAGCTCGTTTTATTTCCCTGACTCGTTTGCCGAAGCGGGTGCACCCTTTTGTTGAAGCGGTTCATATATTATTTGCCCAAGAGGTGCACTAAGATTGTATCCGGATTTTGTTCAAGCGACTCATTGCCCAGCCCTACAACACATGCCCCGGGTTGGTTGGGAAGGGGAGGGGTGGATGGGAGGGAGTGGAGTAGAGGAGTAGAGTAGTGCAGCTGTCTAGTGAGTGGTGCTGAGTTTGTTGAGGGTCGTGTCGTGTTGTGTTGTCTGTCGGAGTCTGAGGGGGGTTGGTTACATGGTTGGTTTGTTCATGGAGACATAAGCCACCAGTTGATGGACATGGATGTTTTGTTGTTCCATCGAGCAAGTGGTGATTTGTTGTGTGTGTGTTGGCTGGCCTGAGATGGGTCCCCCCTCGAGTGGTCCTTCGTTTAGAATCAGTAGTTATAGGACTGTGGGACTGGAATATCATCAT